GGGCGCACATCCACGGTCCATACGCCATCTCTCTCTCCCAGACGCTCCGCCAAACTCACGGTCACCCACCGTCTCTCTCTCAACTCTTCTACACAAAGCCTCTGTCTCAGCCTCTCTTTCCTTCGACGCTTCGACCCTCTCTCTGAGTCTCAAATTCTCAGCTGACGAATTTCAGCCCATCGCGGTTTTCCCTCAAACTAGAAGGACGGAGCGGGAACGCAATCCATCTGCTATTTCTTTCTTCTTCTTGTCTTCTTCGACCTGGTAGTGGTATGTACTTTCATAATTTTCTTTTTCTGTTTCGAATTCGTCTTTCTTTCTGTTTTGCCTGTTTTCTCTGGAGCCAAGCAGAATTTAAGAGTGCAAAGTTTATTTTATTAGTTTTGCGATTTTGTGCATTGTTAGGGTTCTGATTTAGGGAATGCACGGCGTCTAGAGCTAGGCGTATTAATCACCTCATTTTGTTTTCGAAACTTATTTTATTGGTGTTACAATTTCGTGCATAGTTAGGGTTCTGATTTTTCTTGCTTACAGTCAAATTAATCACCTCGATTTTTATTATGCTCATGCTTTATTGTTTGCAAATTACAGTTATTAGGAAGGGCAAGGTAACGACTGTTGAATCAGCGATGGCTTCTTCGAGTAAATCACTGAAAGAGTATTTGAAACGATATGAAGGGATTAATGAAGAAGAGAAGAAGAAAAAGAAGAAGAAGAAGCAGAAAAGCAAGTCAGAAGCAATGGGGTTTTTAGTGGTGGATGAAGACCCTACGTGGCAGAAACCGGTGAATCTTGAGGAAGATAATGACAACAATTCAACAGATGAAGACAAACCTTTTGTTGATGAGGACATTGAGATTAAGAGGATGAGGAGACTTGAAGCATTGAGGGCCAAGCGTCCATTTAATGCCATATCTGAAGATGGAAGTGGTTGGGTTCCAGTTGGACAATCATCGCCTCCTAAGATTTCAAGCTCTGATATATCTCCACCTCGTAGACAGAGGATTAATTCGGAACCTGGATCAATGTCTCCGGGAGATAGGGGAGAAGATGTTGACTTGTCACCTCCACGGCAGAGACGGAAGCGCCACCACACTCCATCCCCTGAACCGGCAACAAATCAAGATCAGTTGCCTACAGACCTTTCACCCACAAGGAAAAGTAGGAATGTTGATTCAGATCTTTCTCCACCAAGGAAGAGTAGGAAGGATGTCGATAGAGATCTTTCTCCACCAAGGAAGAGTAGGAAGGACGTTGATCTTTCTCCACCGAGGAAAAAGAAGCAAGTTCCTCCGGATTCTTTGAAAGAGCAACCGAAAGTTGGTTTGATCTCTGGCCGAGAAATGAGGGACGAGATCACGAGAACTAAGAAGGATGAGCGGTTAAGGTATGCACCTGTTTTAACCAACATATATATGCCAATGCTTCATGATGAATAAGTAATATGCGTAGTGTTTCATTCAGCTAAGGTTTCAGACCAAGTTGAGGGACCGTCATCCTCTGTTTACTCTTTTTTTTCTTTCCTATTAGTTGTTTGTCGCTTTCAATGAAAACTTAACTAATGGTTTTGCCCTTTGTGGTCTGATGGTGTCATTTATGCATTCATCGTCTGTTTTCCATGATGGCCATGAATATAGAGACCTGTGAATTAGTGTTGTCTTGCCACATGGATGCTCTATTAGCTGCTAACTAACCATGAGGCATATGTGGCCTTGTACTGAAAACTCGACAGTTGACATGGTCTATAAATCTTACTATCTTAGTTATGTAGA